GCTCGATATTCCGCGAAATCCAAAGCGAGGAACTCTCTAATCATCTCCTCCTCCCCCGTATCCATCAATTTCCCGGGGGGGGGGGGGGGGGGCGAGGCGAGAAGCAGGTCCTCGTGGTCCAGCACGGCAGCAGCAGCAGCTCGAATGTCCGACCTCGCCTGGAGAGCCCGCGGGGGGGGCCTGCGGGGTCTATCCACACTCGGGCGAACAAGGTTCACGACCATGCGATTCGAAATCCAGGAGCGAGAGCAACGCGGCCCAGATCTGCTTGTTTTCTGCGGGTGACGTGCCCAGGCCCAGCGCCGGGTCAGACGGCGAGCGCGAAGCTCGACTGCGCACGGAGCCACGCGCCAAAAAGCAAGGACTTGCACGTTCGAGAACCTCAACTGGTGCCGGTCGCCCGTCCAGGACGACTGTCCGCGCGTTGCAATGCGGCCCGAAGAAGCAATGTGACCATCCGTTCGCGCAGATTGATGCTGGCTTAGACAGGGGCATTCCATTGCCGAGAGCGTCGTGGTCTGCACAGGGGAAAGGAACATCGCGCGCTTCCATCGCCTCGGCATTCGCGGCGACCGCGCGCCGCCCAATCCATGGAGAGCCGAGCTCGTTGCAGAACGGCGTCTGTCCAGCCCGTGGCTCGTCGTCTGCATCGGTGACGCAACTGGCTCCAAGTACCTGGCAACATCCGAGACCTGCCCAGCGACTCGCCCTGGAGTTCCGAGCCACTGCTTGCGCGCTGACGCCCCACTAAAGAAAAACTCGTTACCCGCTTGTCTCGATTCTGTCTCATCCCAGCCATCGCCAGGGCAGCGCCCAGCACGTCATCTGCCTTCTGCAGCTGCGCCTGCACCTCACGCGTGCCGCAGCCGACTGCAAGGAGCAAGGCGCGGTGCAGGTCAACAGCATACGAACAATGAGAGAGATCCGCCTCATCATCGTCAGGGAGCTCACCTCGAAGTAAAGACGTCCCCGATCGCATCTGCATCGCTGCCGGCCAGTGCTGCGCAGGCCGCTGGAAGGAGTCCAGGAAGGCGTTGACGATGAACGGGTCGCCCGTCATGCCTCTCTCATTCGGCTTCATGTAGAATGTGTCGTCGTCGCATTTCATCCAGTCGCGGTAGTGGCCCTTGCGCAACTCCCATTCCCGTTATGTTTGGCGCAGTTCTCGACCGTCATGTCGATGGCCGCCCTGGAGACACCGCCGAAGGCATTAGAAAGGTCATTCATCGGGCTGGCGAACCTGACTTTGCACTTCCGCGCCCGCCGGGAGAGAGCTTGGGTGACCAGGGTCGCGCCCTCCCGTCTCCTGTGCCTCGCGAATCCATACGCTTGCGGCGGCGCCCTGACCTCGAGCCTCCTGGCGAAGAAGCCCTTGCTCACCGAGGGTAGAGTCTGCGTCGCCCGCTTGCCCAGCGCCCCCTGCTTGGAGTTGCCTTTGGCGAAGCCATGCCCCGTGCTCCGAGACCGGCGCAGGGGGGGCCATGTTCGCGCGTCGGATGCTGGCCAGTCCCAATCGCATCAGCTCTTTGAATATATCCATCTGAATCTGCCAGTGTCGCAGCACAATCCTCGATGTTCGCCTTCTGTGGCTTTGTCCGGGAGAAATGCAAGTCCCGCTTCTCGCCGGGATTCGTGCCCACTGGCGCCGCCCTTCTCTCGGTCGTCTTGCGGAAGTACGGGATCAGCTCAGCGTTGTCCTCGGCGGCATTGTGCGCGCGCTCACTCATCTCCCATGCTGGGAGGGCAGGCGGTGGGAGGTCGTCTCGTTGTCGTCGCCATGCCTTCCACTGAAGTTCGCGCGCCCGCATTTCGACGCGTCCTCCTTCGAGTTGCCACGCCGCGAGCCCGCCAGCCTCGCTGAGTTTGGCGACCCCGAACCTGCGGCCATCGCGACGACGAGCCCCGAGACGGCAGCGCGCTGCTTTTCGTGGAAAGCGAGCCGCTTCCTGCGTGCACCGTCCACGCCAGGCCTCTTGAATCTGATCCGAAAGAAGTTCCCGCGTGGCCAGCACGGACCTCTTCCTCTGCCTCTGCAGCTGCTTGCTCAGCTCCTTCAACCGCACCTCGATCTCCTCTGGGCCGGCGTCCGCCATCTCGCCTCGCCCTCGTGCCCGTCTCAGTTCAGCGCGTGGTTCGAGCGGCCGCCGTCGTTCAGCGCCGTCATCTTTACGTGGTGCCCGTGGTCGCTGCGAAGCAAGGCGGCCCCCGCAGTTGCCCTGATCTTCTCCACGGCCCCCCAGAAATCATCGGGGGAGGTGCGATTGGCCAGGGTGCAGAGCTGCTCCTCATCCTCCGCCAGCTGCGCCAAGACCGCCCTCAAGAAATATTGCTTCTTCTTGCCTCTGAGAATGGCCGCCGTCGTCGCATCCACGTTGAAGCGAGGCGGAGGAGCTGGAGGGAACGCGCCCGCATTTTTCTCGTAGTCCAGCTCCAGCAGCACAGGGGCGTGATCCCGAGGTGGGATGCTTAGAACAGACTGAAGTACATCTCCCCAGCCCAG